CCTCTCCCCTTCCCTCCTCTCCCTTCCCTCCTCTCCCCTTCCCTCCTCTCCCCTTCCCTCCTCTCCCCTTCCCTCCTCTCCCCTTCCCTCCTCTCCCCTTCCCTCCTCTCCCCTTCCCTCCTCTCTCCTCCCTCCTCTCCCCCAGTTCCTACTCTCACTCCCAATGCCTTCTACAGTGCCTGAACTAGATTTGCTATAAAGATTTTCTGGATAGAGATTTTCTATATCTTTCTGACATGCTTTTTTGGGAGAAACACTGTGATCTATTTCATACCTTTGGGAAGATAACATATATGGTTAATGTGCATGCAAAGCCTGGCCTGAGGAAAGACTCCATTGCTGATCAGGCCTTATTTACCATTTCTGCAGGAAAGCCATTTTCGCCTTAGACCCAAAGGTGAAATCACAAACAATGGAGACGTTTTAAATGTGGAACAAACATGTAGCAACTAAAGTTCCAAGACAAACACTCAAGTTCAAACCTTTAAGGTCATCTAGAGGATGCTGAGAGGCAGTGGCTGCTCAGAGCAGACCCACATGGGTCTCTGACCACTGGGCTGGCCCCTTGCTCAGTCTGAGTCATCCTCATTGCCAACTAGGACACCTGAACTAATGACATGCTAGCTAAATGTCACTTTGTAACCAATACAAATAAAGTTTCGAAAGCTGCTTCTTGTAAGACTGTTAACTGCTTGTTGGAAAAATAATTTTCTTCACTGAATGGCAAGGGTTCCAGGTATCCAGGAACTCATTCCCAACAAATTCCAGGAATAGATTTCCACTAAAACATGAAACCTGAAGTAAACACACAGTAAACACAAAAATTCTCATAAGAATAAAGTCTTCTCATCCTGACAGAAGTTCTAAAGTGAGGAAAACAGCATTCTTTCTCTTATAGCTGAAGCATGAACTGAACCATCAACCCAAACAGCCCTGGATTTTCTTGCTCTGGGTGTCTTAGCATCCAATGAGCATCGGTAACTCGTGAAAGGGAGCTAGAGACATGTCTCAGAATCAATCCTCTCTCTCCACTTCTCCCGTGCTGTGGGCACAAACCTGAAGATAAAGACATTCCACGCTTGGCCCTGGGCCTCTAGGATTTTGAGACTATCACAACCCAGACAAGTGAATGCTCCCCTGTGTAGATAACCAAGGTTGTCTGAGTGATTTCAGTGGGCAGGTTTGGAGACATGGCAGCCCCAGGTGCCATTTTGTCCATTGAACTTGGCCTATCATCTTCACTGGCCTTTGGAAGGAAGGAATAAAACAGGAACCAGGTTGAACTTTGAGAGGATGTGTGAGTTAGAAAGAACACCAGTGAGGATGCAGGTAGAGGGGGTGGCAGCTTCTAGGAGCCTGAGGAATGTTGGAAGTTCAGCTTTAGATTTGTATTTCCTTTATCTTGTCTGCTACAGGGATGTTTCCCAGAGCCTTGAACAGTGCCTGCCACACAGTGGTAACTCACAAGATAGCTTCTGAACTTCTCAATAACAGGACCATGTTTTCATGGTTACAGCTTTAGAATGGAGATCATAGAACTAGGCAGGAAGTGAGCAGAAGGGAGTTTCTATTTTAATATCTATGAGCTTTGTAGTTCTTCTCCAAGGGGAAAGTATAAGGGGGAAATGGAATTCTGATTAAGAAAGTTTGATGATACATTTAAAAGAGGTGTGGGAGAATCATATAAGAACTGTCTAGTTCAATACAGTAAAACCTTCTGAAAGAGTCTAGAAGAGTCTGAGAAGTGTAAACATCAATTGATCACTGAGGAAAATGAGTTATCTTCTTGATACTGAATGTGGAATGCTACTAAACACAGGAAAAGTGCAACCATCCGTCTGGAACCGAGGAGAGGAACCCTGAAAGACAGGAGCTTGGGGTTCTCATTCTTCTAGTGACCTTTAGAGGAGACTTGATTTGTTGACTAACGGGAAAATTCACTTCTTTTATTGACCAAATCCACAAGCAGATTTGCAACCACTCTCTGCTGAATTGGACTTTATTGCCACATTTTAATTTTTTAGTAGTGGACTAGTTGGGCAGTCTGTGTTTGCCTGCTTGCTTACAGGGCTTTGATCTGTAGTGTGTGTGTGTGTGTGTGTGTGTGTGTGTGTGTGTGTGTGTGTGTGTGTGTGTGTGTGTGTCCATACTGAGGTCATAAGAGGATATTTGAGTGTCCTGCCCTGTCCCTTCCTGCCTTATTCCTTTGAGACATTGTCTGTCATTGAACCTGTAACTCCATATTTCTCTGGATAAACTGACTGAACAGCAAGTCCCAACAATCATATAGAAGCAATGACCCCCAAGCCCCCACAATGCTGAGGTCATAGACTGGTTTTCACATGATAGATTCTTGGGATTGAATTTGGATCTTGAATACTGACCTTAAACTCTTCCTTCTTCCTCCTCAACCTCCAGAGTGATAGAATTACAGTCATGGGCCACAATAAATAGCTGGTTAATGTTTTAATTCAAAGAAATTTCAAACTGTAGCAAAAAAATTAGATAAGTGAGATCTAAATATCGATACTTTCATATTAGATTCAAAAATGCTTTTTTAAATTAATGGAACAATCTGTGTATATTTGGTACTTAAAACATTTGTAGAGTACTATGTGTGTATAAGAAGTGGTGTCCTCAAAGTACCTAAGGAGTTTTCTCTCTCAACTTTAAATGAGTAATTGACTAATTAGGTTTAGGGTGTCCAGTCAAAAGATACAAACATAACTGGAATACTTACTGTAACTTATAAAACACTGTCCTTAGAAACAAACTTTATTAATTTTACATGAAAAGTATGAGTTTATAAGAAGGATTTGTTTGGTTTTTCTCCAGTTATAAAAAGTTGAAGGATTTTGAAATAATATGGATTATATGACTTTTTAAAAAACAATCTACAGGATTTAAAGGACATTTGTTAGCTAAGGTTATAACTAGAATTGCTTAGTTTTTAAGACTTTTTTCAAAATTGTGTATGTGTGTGTTATGTGTATGTGTGTATATGTTTACTGTATGTGTGTGTATGCGTGTGCATATGTGAGTACAGATGTTCCTGGAGGGACATAAGAGGATGGTAGAACACAAGGCTGTGAGCTGCACGATGTAGATGTTGGACTCTGAACTCTGAAAGAGTAATACATGCTCTTCAACACGGAACCATCTCTCCATCCTCTAGAATGGAAGGAGGGTTGACTCATTCAGCTTGTGCTGAGACATTAAACACACATTTCCTTGAATGTGACTGGTACAAGTAGAACAGATTTTGCAAACATATTCATTTAGTGTATTCACTAAGCATTTGTTAGGTGTCAAATGTACCCCTGCATTCTAGGAATATAGTCATTAATGAAAAAGGACCAAGAAAGCTACTTTTTTAAGAAAAAAAGAAGGTCACTGTTGAATACTTTGCTTTTATACATTGGAAATTAATGTTAAATATGTTGATCAGAAAGCCACAGGGGCATATGCCTGTCACCCCAGACTTTATGAGGCTGGGGAAGAAAAACCATAAATTCAGGACCAGCCTGGACTACATAATGAGACTTTTTCCCATTGACAAGGATAAAATAAAACGTGCATTTTTTCATTAAAAAAAATCCCCTGTGGCAAGTGTGTTCATCCATCCGTGTACCATCATTGACTAACTAGTTTACAGTTTACATGTTGAAGTTTCTAGTGTGTTGCCTAGAATTTACTATTGTTACTATTGTTGTTGTTGTTCAGAGGAAATCAAATGAAGCAAGATTTTTCTTAAAATGCAAATAAATATCCCTAACATTGAGGACTAAGGTATATTTACATCTTCAGATAATTCAATTAGCTTGTGTTTCTCCTAAGTTAAGGCAGAATCTTTCTGATAGAAAGAAGAATGGAATCTAACCTTTGCAGAAAGGGAAAATGAAGATGGGTGTGTATATATAGTAAAGCTTGGAATAGAATTAGGAAGTCAGGGGAACTGGTTATTTTGGTAGAAAGAGTGGTAAAAATGCAAAGAATTATCAGCTCATTGGAAAAAAAACCTGCATGGACAGTGATTCCATGGGGGAAAGTTTAAGCAGACTTCTTACATATAAGTAATGTTTTGAAACATCCTATTTGCAAATTGATCAATATTTTGATAACCAGAACTCACAAATATTTCATCCAAGGCAATGGCAAAGTCAAGAAAATGCCAAATTGCCAAATCCCAGCAATGACCTAAATGATCACTCCTTCTGGATGGTCCAAAGCTAGCAACTCTGAGTTGTATGGCCCCTTCAGCATTTTCCAGCTGCCCTTGTCTAAGCTGTCATCATGTACAACCAGGTGGGGTAGCATGCTACAAGACCACAAGCATCATTGCTGGCCCTTGTGGTGGTTCTGCTCCATTCACCAGCTGGTAACTCTTTAACACCATGGTTACTACCCATTCTCATGCAGGCTTATGGGAACCAGCAGATAAGTGTATTCTTAGCTTCTATAGTTCAGAAGACTGAGCTTGACAGCCATGGCTTGACTGACACTCACAGCAGGCTTCTTAAGTTCTCTGCACCTAAGTTACTCTTCTATAAAGAGTCTACAATGACACCTCCTTGGTGGGGTTTCTGAATGGTTTGGGTAATACAGGTTCAACAGCCTTGTGTTACCCAACAGCCCTGTGTTACCCAGAGAGTTATGCTGAACTCTCTGACTTGAATTTATACAAGAGTTCCCCAATGTGCAGTAAACAAAAAACACGGTGTATGTACTGCCTGTAATAACAGTAGATGTGAGCAATAATCAGTAATTAAAGGAACTCAGCAAGACTCAGGGATGCAGCTGGCTGTAGACCATATGCTTAACCTGAAGGAGGTCCTGGGTTAGATGCTTGAGACCGTGTGATGAGGCATGGGTTTATCAACCGTGTGAACAGTGGACCAGGATTTGACTGTAATTTTATGAATAACAAAATCATATCAGCAGTTATTGAACAGTTTTGAAGAAAAATAATGCTCATATCAGTGACCTTTAATACAGTAATGTCTTCAAATTGTCTGGTACTGGAACAAAACACTGTGGACAATAATTCCTTTAGAAAATGGTTTCTATAGATCCACATAAACCAGGCTGAGTTATTAAGGGGAAAATGAGTTTAATAAGATGTTATTAACCATATTCTGTATCATCCAAGAAAGTATACCATAAAAATGTTTTGACTATCACTCGACCTCTGGTAACTTTAGTGTTGTCAAAATTTGTATTATAGTGAGGTAGACAGTTTCAAAAAAACTCTCCATTAGACAGACTTAAAATTTTGTAATAATATTTAAGAAAACGATAACATTATGAAAGAATGAAATATCTGATTAATGCTTAACTTTGTACAACTCGAATATAAACTTTAAAAATATTAGAAATTATAACATTTGAGTGCATATAACGTTTTGTACATTAAGATGATTGCATGTTATCTCTTTGCACTTTTAGTCATCTTAAATAAACAAATATATACAGCCTCAACAGAACAACAGTGCATCCAAAGCAAATGTGCATTTAAGTTATTTCTCCTGGACAAGTCTTGTCTCTTCTCTCTTACCATTTTATATTAGCATGTATTACTATTTCCACCCTTTCCTTGACAGTCTGTAGATCTCCGAACCAGACAAGCAACAGATTTAGGCAGAGAGAGAACAAGCCAATCGAGATACCCCCCAAACATTCTGCAAACATTAACACACCTTCCTGGCTTTAAACTATTCTGAAAGCAAGGCTGAGGAAGCTTTCTTGTCAAATGGCCTCTGCATGGGTAGTGTTTGAAAATAATTCTGGTCCAGACTGAGGAAAGGCTCTAGGTCTTGACTACCCCGGGAACAGATATTTTCCTGGGTGTTCTCTCCTGCTTCCTTTCCTTGATGCCTGAACCCCAGTTTCCACCCCAAACTCAATGTAACACTTGACTCTTCACAGTATCTCATTACTACGTTTAAAAACACCACCTAACTGGTAATTACAATCTAAAACAATTCTCTAGGGGGAGCCCTGGGCTATTGCTGCCTGGTAATCTCTCAGGAATGCCAAAAAGAGGGGAGGGGGGTCTTAATTTTTAGAAACTTCAGAGGCAGAGGCTCCTGGACTTTTCATCCTGCTTGGGGCCTGGCCCTTTATCTCGATCCTCCTGTGGGGCCATCTTCTCCCCTCCTGACAGGGCCCTTCCACTTTTTAGGTCCTTTCCTCCTCCCCTTTCCTTCTTACCTTAATTATAGAGTTCTCACCCCTCATCATTAAAAAAAATAAAAATAAAAAGTCTTCACCTTAGAAGGAGGAGCTGGAATTTTGACAAATTCTGTTTAGAGAAATCAATGAGAAACAGACATGATGATCTTTGGGGTGGGCTGCGTGTAGCCCTTGGGTACTGTACCTCACCTCCCTGTCACCCGGTCAGAGCTAGGCCTTGTGGTTTCTCATTATCCTTCACGGGGTTCCACAGGGACTAATTCCAGTCATTCCATCCATACCAACTGCTTTCCCCACCAGCAACAGTAAAGGCATCCGGAGACCTGAGTCCACAGTGGCGGCAACAACCAGTTCCCTGTGCTGGTTGAGGCCAGGGCAGAGCTGATAAATGCATGGGAATGCACAAGGGAGAGAGGCTTCTCTGAGGGCAAGACCCCTCCTGACTCCCGTATTCCTTTGGCCAACTCCGCTAAAACTTCCCGTGCAGAAGCCAAGGGTGTCAGCTATGACTAGGCTGGAAAGGCCCAACGACCCACACTTTCGTAGACAGGAAGACACAACCAGTCTGAGATGTTTCCCTTCCCCTTCCCCCCAATCCAAGGAGCACTTGTGAACAGATAGGCATCTTTCCTCCTTCCATCTATCAAAACCAAGGAGGCGCAAGAAAACCCAAAGCCACAATAATAAAGAAAAGAAAAAGAAAGAATCTTGGTCTAGTCTTTCCAGGGTGGCCAGGCAAAGTGTGAAAACCCTTAGCTGCTTCTGGGTTGGCGAGTGGAAGGTTCTGGGAGAGCTGGGCTGCCTCCTCTCCCACTGCTCCTCCTTCTATGCTGTTCCCCCACTTGTGACCTCTTCCAGGCCAGCTCCTGCTCTGCCTCTCAGCAGTCAGGCCTCCCTCCATGGTCCCTGGCCCAGGCACGGATAGCACCGCTACCTGCAGCCACAGGACTCCACCACCATGTCCTCATACTGTTTGTAGACCACGTTATTGCCCGCGTCGATGTACAGGATGCTGATGGGAGTCAATTTAGTAGGAACGCAACAGCTGGGCGGGGTGGAGCCCGGGTCCATGGAGTTCATCAGTGTCTGGATGATGGCGTGGTTAGTGGGTTCCAGGTGCGAACGCAGCGGGAAGTCGCACACGCCCTCGCAGTGATAGGCCTCGTACTCTAGGGGCGCGATAATCCAGTCGTCCCAGCCTAACTCCTTGAAATTCACATGCAGGGGCTTTCTGCTGCAGCGCAGCCTGGACTTCTTGCCATGTCGCTTGCCGTGGCGGCTGGCGAAGGCGGTGCGTCGCCGCCTACGGCCGGGCGAGGGCAGCCAAGGCCCGGCGTCTGGGGCGCCCGACGGCCCTGGCCATGACCCCTCGGCTCCCGCAGCCTCAGCAGAGTCCAGTTGCTCGCGCATCTCGGCGAACAGGTTCTTGCGCTGGGATCTCGTGAACACGACGAGCAGGGCGCGCTCCTGGGGCGGCCGCACCCTCCGGCCGAAGCCCAGACTCCGCAGGTCCAGGGGCGGTGGCTGCTGGTGACTCCTCGCGCGCGCCTCGGCATCCCCGGCGTTCAGCTCGCCCCAGGTTGCCCGCAACTCCAAGCACAACTGCTTCCACGGCTGAGGGCGCAGGCTCTGCCACACGTCGAAGACTTCCCAGCCGGCCTGGGTTGACCCCTGAAGATCCAGGGTCCTGGCGTCCAGTAGCAGTGAGGACAGGCAGGGGAAGAGCTGCACGTGCAGCGGTCGGGCTGGTTGCCCCCAGGGCGCTGGGGGCGCCTGGCGATAAAGCCTCAGCTCTGCGCCCACCAACTCTTCTTTGTCTGAGAGCGTGGACACATCAAACAAATACTTCTGTCTCCGGAGAGGAGTGTGCGAGAGATCGTCTGCAAGATAAAAAATAATTACAGTCAGTTTCACTTACGAGGAGATCAGCCTGGTGCTCTTCGGCAGTCGCCAAGAGGAAGTGGGAGGTAGGGAGGGGGCAGGCGGCCAGGGAGTCCAGTTCAGCACCCCCAGGATCACCGCCTGAACCATACACTGCGTGGGGAGGAACCACACCAGACCCGGACGCCCTTCTCAGCTCAGCTGCTGCCTGGGACAGAAGTCTGGACTCCTGTGGAAGCAGCTTCCCTGGGCTCCCCCTCAACAGGCTGTGTAACCACTAATGTGCCCTTGTGGTCGCAAATCTGGGCTGCGCTTCCCGGCCCTATGGTTCATGGGTTCTCATCATTGAGGCCTCAAATGTTACTTCTTCCAAGAGGCGGCCCCAGACCACCCTGATCCAAAGCAGCATCCCTTAGCCACCACTGTAGCGGGACCTTGGCTTATTTATTATCTTACTGGCGCTTGAAATTATTCCATCTATATTCATCACAAGGACTGCCTTTCGCAAGCACCAGACACCCTTCACTGGCCCATAGAAGCAAGTCCTTGCTTACCACAGACCCAGAGTCCTAAGTGACCTAGGGTACAGTCAGGTCAGTAGGTGCAAAACTTGTAGAACAGTGATTTTCAAATTGCCTTTGAAATGTCAGGGTCTGCTTATCTAATTGAATCGTTTTCTAAGAACGGGACCTGTGCATGAAGCTTTTCTGTGTTTATTGAGAACCTCTTTCTTTTGACTTCAAAGTGATTCGAACCCCTTTCCACTCCAAAGTGACTCATAGGCACATTTTTTTCTATAAACCCACTATTCAAGGGTCATATTGCTACCCCCCAGGCAGTATTGCTAGGACATTTTAGGCCCAGAAGGATGTAGACAGAATGAAGAGTTACTGTGTCAATTCTTTCATTCATTTCCAATCTTTTTCTTCCTTCCTTATAGCAAATGAAAAAGCAATGCAGCATGCAGCTTTCAGAAGAGAAGACAGAGTGAGAAACAAACTAACACACCAGAGTTCCACCCTCTGAGATCGTCGATGCACGGGAAATAGGCATTCCTGGAAAGAGAAACCCTCAGCCAGGGATACCCAGTCACATGCCCCACCCCTTTCACCATCCTCCAATCTGATACTCTGTTTGACAATGAATCCCAAAGATTGATTCCTTGGTTACAAGTGAGACACATCCAGACTGGCACACTTTAAATTCCAAGGCAAATTCTGCAGAAGGAAGGGAAAATTAGACTCCTTTTTTGTTTTTTGACACATTTGTGCATGCAGCCAACATCACTTCAATGTGCAAGGCAGAACCCTAAGCAGATTCTCCTGGGCTGCCTTCCCATAGAATGTTTACAACCCAGCAAATACAAGAATCCCCAAAGCCCTCTGCCCTCCCCAGAAGCTAGTAAAGTTTGCATCAATTTCAATAGAAAAAGTATGACCTGGTCCACTCCAGCCCTCACTGTCTGTCCAGATGTAGCCTGGAGACACATAACCGAAGCATGCTGGCTCTGGAACCTCAGTCACGCCCAGCCACCACACTGGGCTAACTGCTGGCCCCACTGCCTCTGAGGCCCAGGCCCCCACCTGAGGAAGAGATGTGAGAGGAGTTAGAGAGGTGAAAAGTGGAAGCTGCTGCAGGAAGCTGAATTAGGGAAGCCAGGACCTTCAAGCCAACCAATGGGGAGCTGGCACACGTCCTTCTCCTTCCTAGAAAGCTGTATCTGACAATGGAGCTTAGCCAACAGCCAGGTGCTTGGGCTCATCACCTTAGGCTTCACTTCCATGCCTCTCTCCGTTCAGGCTGTGAGACACACTATGGACATGCTACACTAGCCAAATGTTGTGAAGGCTGATAGAGTCCTAACCTTGCTTCCCATGGACAGTGTAGTAGAGTAGGCAAATCCTGTTCCCATTTCTATGGTGGGAAAATCAAGACTAGAGGGAATTAGTTATATAAAATAAGTGATGAAGTTGGGGCAACACTTAAATCTACTAGTTCCAAAGCCTGAGTGATGTGCCCTGAGTTCCATTGCCTTGGCACTGTGAGCTAAATATGGAATTCTAGAAGCAACCAGGAGTCGTTAGGGGCCAGAGGGAAGGGGGATACAGATCAAACTGTATTGGTAGAGCTTGTTGGGAATAAACCCTGGCCTTCCTTGGGAAAGCATTTCCATCTCTGTTTTCATAATTTTATATACTAGGTTGCTCGCTAGAGAACATAACAGGTACAGAGAATGATAATTTATTTCTTTGTCTCTCCTGCACCATGGAGAGGTCATCCTTCTTTTTTCCCCTTCTCTTTTGTTTTGTTTTTAAGATCAAGCTAATAAATAACTAGTCTGTCTAGCTGAGGCAAACTGAGATGGGCATCTGTAGAAACCTGAAGAATCTGTAGATTGTTCAACCTTTAGATGTCTGGTGACCTGCCTTACAAAACTACCCTACAAAGACTATTCTAGGACTCAGGAAGGAATACAAATGTGGCGTTAGGTCTCCATCTATTCCCTTTCTTCTTGTACTAGTGTACATCATGATCAGAGGGGTCCTACCTAAATACCTACATCCACCCCAGTCCATACATCACAGCATCTCGGGTAATCACACACAAGAGAGATGTGGTCATCTCTTGAGAAGTCAGGCTGCTTGGGCCATTGAACTGGGTAAGGGTCAGAATCATGTGGTCCAGAAACCTGGAGCTCAGTCAAAGCTCACTCAAGATCAGTGGCTGTTAACACACACACATACACACACACACACACACACACACACACACACACTACCAACAACAACAATAAAAATAACCTAACCTTATGAATATCTCATAGGAACTTGTTAGAGACAAACGTCATCTCAGGCTCCAAGGCTTGGGGGCTGCCTTTCTAGGAACCTCCAGATGATGCTGATTCCCCGGGTTCGGGACTTACTGTTAGAAAACCACTGACAGGTAAGGATTTGATTTCTCATCATGTGAGGGGAGGGAAGGAATCAGTGCAGTATAGACAGAGCAAAGTACCCAACTGTAGGCATTGCCACTAGACCATGTCACCATCTCTCTAGGTGCCTTCTAATCCATATAACTACTTGCATATTTTTGATAATTTCATCCACATACCTTCTCAACAAGTCTCCAGAGCCTCTGATGCCTAAGCAGAGGACCCATAAGGCATCTTCTCTCTAGAGATTCCCTCCAGAGCACATTCCCTGCATGCTTGAACCTGCTTTGGAGCCCTATGCAGCAAAGACATCGCCAAGAAGAGGCATACCGTAGGTCTGGAATGTAGACGCCACCATGCACAGTTACTTTATAAACACCAGCTGACCTGGCAACCCGAAGCCTAGTGCAGCTACAATGGGTCACCTGTGACCAGGAAGATGGCCACTTGCACTGTCTCGAACATCCCTCCTCTCCTAGGAAATTCTTTATAAACATGGGTGATATCATCAGATAACTCATTCCTTGCACAAATGTGCACTGTTGGTTTCTAAATCGGTGACACTTTCTCATATCCTGAAAATGAGTTCTCTGCTTTATTCTCTTTAAATTGAAAACTGGTCAGTAATTCACCACAAGAATTTTACACTTGCATCAAACCAATTTGTAGCAGCTCAGCTCTCTCTTCAGTCGAGTATTGGACTCATAAGCCTTTTGAGATACAACTGCTGTATTTTTTTTTCATTTTTCCCTGGAAAATGAGTAGAAAAGAGGGAAAGAAGAGGAGTCGGATTTAGCTGAAGAAAATCCTTCACAAGTAGCAAGTTGGAAATAATACAATAATACAGCAAACCTCATACTGACACCTGCCATGTGGGGTGTTTGAGGTTTTGTTTATTTGTCTAACCATTTGTGAAAAGGTATCCTGTGTAGTTAAAGAGCTCCTAGTACAGAAGTATTAGAAATTAAGATAGAAGGAGAATGTTGATCAAAATATTGTCTCAGTCAGAATAAATATAAGAAGACAAGGGTTTTAATGTTTAAAAAAGAAGGATGGAGAGCAATTGTAGAAAGAGACTTTCTTACAAAGGCAAGTACACACGGCTAAGGCAGGCCCAGTAAATGGATGAAGGACTCTAGAGGCAAATGCTGAAGTGAAGAGGAAAAGATGAGGTGGGGAGACCTTGGGCAGCCTGAGCTTAGGTTACAGGGCAGCACACGCCACCAGTACCTGCAAGCTGTTTCTTCCTATGGGGTTGCCACCAAGCCAGCCCTCATAGGCTTTCTAAAATATCCAAAACTTGCAGAGAGGAAGGGACCAGAGCTGCCTCTTCCCAAGGCAACACTGGAATCTTCTACAGCTTAGGTTTCTCTTGGAGATTCAAATAGGATTTGGTTTTTTTCCCAGTAACCAGAAGCAAGAGTGTATGTGTGATTCTAAAAGTCCCTTCTCACTTTGATTGGCATCTCATCCTCTAACTGATACTTTGGATGGATGCTGGTCAGACTCCAGCAACCTCCTCTATCTTCCTGGTCGGTCTCATGTGTCTTGCAGATCTCAGAAAGCTCAGAATATGTGGTCTTTCCCACTCACACACTCTAAGTAGGAATAGGCCCTGGGGTACACAGATAATTAATTGCTCATCTTTGCAAAGAACACTCTAGAACTCTTTGAGATTAAGCTTCCATCCTGGTCCCAAGCTTACTGTAGACCTGGAAGCAGTTTTGTGTGCTAACTGGGTATTGTTTTTGTGCAAGGCTCATGAAACTCAGAACTTTGATGGCCTCTCTCAGACTCCTTCACCAAGCAAGAATCCTGCTACTTTGGTCTATCCATTTACAGGGAATAGACTTCAGAACACCAAGACTTAGGTTAACATCTTGCAACTGGTAACACACTACACTAGTTCCAAGAAAAACCTCTGTCTGTCAGGACACACTCCTCTGCCTGGATCTGGATTGGGCAGTGGCAGGAGATGAAAGTGAGAGTACTACCACCATTCATTTTTGGTCCTCCATGTGATCAACACTTGGAGGGCTGCAGTTTCCCAAGGATGGGCAGCCCTTT